CTTTTTCAATTTCTTTATATATTTATTTATTACTGACATAGAATATTTTATAGTATTCTTAAAATGTCAAAATTAAAAACTGTAATAAAACAACTTTAATAACTGTAGGAAATACAAACCAATTTTTATTATTAGGAAGAAAAATTTTTTATTCTATTTCTTTCTCTTTTTTTTTCCAATTTGTACGTGTTTACCGACTATGTACATGTGTATTTTTAAGTCATCTACTTGTTGATTAAATACTCAATATTTAAATAAAAATACAAGTACTTACACATAATTTTTGATTTTTATTTTTATTTTATGAGATATAAGGAAAAACTTTATCATCTAGACAAAGATTATAGACATGAACATTTACACATATTTTACTTACCAATTTTTTTTTTTTTTTAATTTTGTTAAAAGTTCTAGATCTTCTACATTTTGTTAATCAAAACAAAAATAAAATTTATATGTATAGAATCTTGTACATCAAATAAAAAAATTTCAAAATTCATTCCTCTCTACCCACCCCTACATTATATTTTACATTTTTATTTTATTTTCTAATTTACTCCGATTGATAGAAATCATCCACATCTACTACATACATATATTTATTTGAATTTGCAATCATTCATTCATAACCTATAAAAAGTTTCAAACCCCAAATATGTAATTGAAATTGTAAATAGATCAAATTCCAAATATGAAAGAAAGTAAGAACAAAAAAAAAATCGAAAAAATAAAACAATAAAAAATTTATATGCTTTGATTTCATCTTTGCATGCCAAACACAAAATCAACAAACAAAAGGACGACAAGAATCCACCTATATGTGAGAATTTAAAAAAGAATTTTAAACATAAATATTAAAAAACAAGAAAAATTAAAGAGAAAAAACTGTACTCATCTCTCATATGTAAAGAGTAGTAAAGAAAGAAAATTTATTTAAGAATTGAAAAACTTGCAGAAATAAAAAAATATTTTTCCTTATCGACATCGATAGTAAAAACAATAAAAAAAAAAAAATAGAAAGTAATACAAGAACAAACAAAATATACGAAAAGGCGACAATAATACTTTTTTAGTATACAAGGATGTGTAGAAAAACTTTTTCCGGAAACTTTTTTTTTTATTTATATTTTGATTTTGTTATTTTTTTGTTTTACGTACTTTAAACAGAAAAAAAATTATATTATTTTTTTTTCTATCACTAGTTAAGTCAGAAAAAAAAGTGGTAGCACTATATTTGAATAAACGACCATTTTTTTTTTTTGATTTTCTATAATGCCTCCTTATTATTATGCGTGTCCGTAACACCTCATGATGCCGAACTCTTGTCTGTCACGCTGTTTCCATACTGTTTGGATTTTTCATGTAAATCTTTAATAATTTATTTATGTCATCAATTTTGTCACAATAATAAATATATTGATTCAATTATAGGATTCCAGTTCCAGTTGCGATCAGTTATTTTAGGAAAGCCGAACGTTTGTGATAGAACAAAATTTCTTACTTTAAACAATTAGTACGTAGTCGACATTATGTATAAAGTATTATTTCAAACTCTTTACTTATTTTTCGATATATCTACTGCAAATAATAAATTTGAAATGTGGGCATTGAAATGTGTGATTAAACAAAATTTGATTGGTTTTGAACAATGTGAATGTCAAAATTAAAGTGAGAAAAACACTCCTTTTGATCTATATATCTGATACCTTTTTGACTTGCCATATTAAACAAAATTTTATAATGTAGTGCAATTCTTATTCTAAATTCTAATATTGCATTTCATGTAAATTTTTAAAGGAAATAAATTCTATATTTCTTCTTGTTCTCTTGATCTTAACATTATTTAACATTTAAAATTTAAACTCATTATGTACACAATAAAATTAAAAGCATACATATATCTATATTTTCGAATGTTTACAAAAGATGGCGCCTTTAAAGTTTATTTAGTTTATTTGAAACCAATTTAACTAGCTAAAACTGTTCCCTCTTGTCGAAGCAAAAAACTACTCGTAATAGAAAATAAACTTGTAACTTATTTGTTTTCAATTTTCTACAATAATTTAGATAAAATTTTACTTATTATGTCATTTTGCTCTTTTAGTTTTTCATTTTAATTTTATAAGTTTAAATAATAAGTTTTTCTTTTAAAAATAACTTTTGCTACTTTAAAATATAAAAGGAAAACAAAAATACTTTATACATACATACATTTATGCAAATAAATACTTATTTAATAGAAGAGTAGAGAATATTTATTTTTAAATATTACAAAATTTTTAATACGTATGCTTATGTTTGAATGCAAAATATGAAAATGAATTTAGATTAATATAATTAATGGGAGTGTTTACATGTGCATCGTAGTTTGAGCGTAAAGCACAACGTTTACTACCCTTTAAATAAACGTTATTTTTATAGTAGAGAGGGTGTGCGAAACATTAAGGAAGGGCTGTGTATACGCTCATTGCATACTCGTTTAAACAAAGCCAATGCGTTATGACCGGCAAAGGATTTTGTAGTCCCAGCGTCATCTATGTTATGACATCAAAGTAACCATATCAATTGATTAATTGTCAAAGTAAATGTTTGACGCAAATATAAATTTTTTGGAATTGTATTAAAATGTTTAAGTAATTGACAACTAAAAATTAAATTATTAAAATTTAACGCTTGATACCACACCATTTGTCGTATAAATTGTCTCTCTTTCTCTCTTTTGCAGTCCTTCAACAAGAGTGTTGAACACTGTAAATAATGATAATACCTATATGTTACCATTTAGTGCCTATATAAATTATAATTTCCAGCACCTACAATTGGCTTACATTTTCTACTGGGACATTTTTTATGAGAAGTGTTAAATTTCTTGTTGCAAAAATTTCATATTTCATAACTTAAATATGTAAATCACATTTTGACATATTAATGTGAAAACTGTTATATTTGAATGGTGACACATTTCATAACTGTTATATAGATGACATTTTTGCTTGTGTGACATAATTATAATTTTCAAGTAAGTTTTATTTTCACATTGTCAGATCAAATCCTATACTAGTTGCTTAATAATATTAAAATAAAAAGTTGATGACTTTTTTGATCAAATAAACGACTAACGTTTGCACATCTAAGTTACGTTATTATTTTCATCAGATCGAGCGAAATTCTTGAACAACTTTTGATTTTTACATACTGTCATACGTAAATTTTATCTATAATAAAAGTATTTAATTATAGGAATCAAGAATTTTGGAATTTTCCAATTCTTTTCTACATATAGTTTGCCTTTTTTGTTCAAATTTCTATTTCTAGCTTAATTGAAACGCTTAATAAATGTTTGTGAATGTTTTCAACCAATAATTATAATAATTTCTGGTATACTAAGTCTACTTTTTGACCTTAATTGCCTTTAAAGGATCAAATCAATAGAAACCTTTCAAGATGAAAGTTTTGTTTTTAACAAAGACTTTTAATTTTTCTCAACTAAAGATTGATTAACTTGTGAAAGGATTTTAATTAGAATTTCGTGATTGAATTCATTAAACAGAAAAAAAAATATTGAAAATTTCTAGTTAATAAACAAATTATTCCCTTTATATTTTTAACATTTCCTTATTTTTATAATTGAAAAAACAATTAGAGATGGACAAAGTAAGACAGAAAAAAAAATTTGTAGTGCTTTTTGCTCAAATTCTAAATAACAAGCAAAAGAAACCTATTTAAATAAAATCAAACTAATAGCTTGTAAAAAAAAATAAAACAGCATCTGCTCTTTAAGCATTTAAAAAGTTTAAGGAAAAGTTGACGATAGGTAATTAAAATTTTTCGTTTTTTCTTGCATTTGAAATGAAAATGCAGAATTGAGGGTTTTTTAAAATCATAAGAAAGAAATGCTAATTTTATCCAGTAATGCTGAACATATTATAAATGCTCGTTTACATGAGAGTGCGTTTTTGTATGTACTCAAATTAGAATTGAAAAATAAAAGGGGTGAAAGTTAAAGCGATAAGATTTGTTCTACATTTTCATTTTTTCAATAAGATCATGTGCTCATTTTTGAATTTGCTATTAGAAAATGCTGTCATTTCAATTTGGGACAGACAAATTTGTAATTAAGCTCAAGTGAAAAAAAAAATCGGAATACTTTGAAAAATTTGATGTTTTTCGGATGAAACCGAAGCTGTTTCTCATGATAACTGTTAAGTCGAGCTTTTTCACTTAAAAATCGTTTATGTGTTTTGCAACGTTTTGCATTTAAACTTTTAACTTTTGCAATATCTTACTCATAGCCCTACATGAATTTAACTACAAATTTTAATTTTGCAATTATTGTTAAAGTCAACTGTTTAATGTTTACCAAGAAACGCATAAAATACTGCTTAAGCTCAAATTCTTTAAAAAACTGAAATTAGTGATATTTTTTAATTTTTTTTTCTTTTTGGTGCTGTACGAGACTTAAAATGCAAACTATCAAAAAAAAAAAAAAACAAGAAAAAATCAAAAACATTCAAGTAAAAAAAAAAACTCACATTAGGAAAAACTTTTTTCAACACAAACAATCATAGTTGAGCAACAAAATGAAAAAAAAAAGTTATGAAAGTTAAGAGAGAAAAAAAAAAATTGGAAGAACTTTGAAAAAGTTTTCCATTTTTCTCATAAAAAAAAAGTAGAAACTTCAAAACAAAATTGTTCTTTAAACAAAAACAAAAAAAAAAACTTTTTAGTTATGACATTGAAGGTCTATTTCTCGAGTCTTTTATATTTTTTGGTGCGCCCATATATAAAAAATCTGATCAGATTTGCAATAGCAAATTAAAAGCAGAATTTTCTCTTTCTTTAGTTGGTTTTTTTTTGTTAAACGAAATTCTCTGAAATTGCAATGAATTTTTGGAAGCAACAAAGTTTTTTTTGTATTTTAAGTTATAAAAGTTTTATGTACTCTATTCAAATTTGCGAAAATCTTTAATATTTATTCATTTATTTTCTTATATTTTCAGGGTTAAGTAGACGCGGAGTGGCTCCTGGGCCGCCATTGAGTCTGCCGTCCACGCTGGAGGATTCAACAGCCGGTTGGAAAGGTGGACCGGCTGGTGGTGGTCCCGATAATCAAACAGTTCCTGGCGGTGGCGGTAGCGGTCCTGGAAATGGTCCAGGTAATGGACCGGGTAGTGGTGGAGGAGGAGGTGGTGGATTTGGTCCATCTGGACCAAATTCATTTGGTGGTCCAGTTTCAGTATTTCCACAAGCTGGTCAAGGTTCACCAGCTGGTAATAGCCAATCGGTAGGTGGTTATCAAACAGGTCCACCACCAGGTTCAAATACACCACAGTATACAGCATCACCCGCCCCATCTGGTTCATCGACACCTGGTCCCGGACCACCACAAAATGTTAGCGGTGCTGGTTTTCCTCCTCCTCCGAATTCAGCGGGTCCACCATATAATGGGCCGGGTCCTGGTCCGGGAGGACCAGGTGGACCATTCGGATCACCCTCAGGACCAGGACAATTTGGTCGTCCTGGTAGTAGTGGGCCTACATTCGGGGGTGGACCAGGTCCAGGGGGACCTGGTGGTCCACATTTTGCTTCACCAGGTGGTCCAGGGGGATTTGGAGGGCCACAATTCGGTATGCCACCTGGTTCACCATTCGGTCATCCGGGTGGTGGACATCCTATGGGCCCCATGGGCCCCGGTCATATGATGGGAGGACCTCAGCCAGTTGATAGAATGGATCAGGGGTAAGTTTTTATAAGAAATTATTTATTTTAAATATTTTGATATTTTAATTTTAAAATTTTCATAAATAAATTCTCGAAATGAATTTTTTTTTTTGTAAATAATCGACGTATTATTTTTACACGCCCTCATGATTTGATTTTAATCTTGTTTTTTTTTTTTTTGAAAAATGTCTAAAAGAGGTCTTCAATATTGAGTGTATGATGAGAAAAAAAAAGATCTGTATATGTGAATCATATACAATTGTACACGAAAAGGCAAGTACACGTACACAATTAACATATGTATGCTAATATGCACTTCATCAACTACTTTAACCATGATTAGATCGTTGTTAAAAAATATTCAAAGTTTCTAACTATGATATGATGATCCAAATAATATGTGAACCAAAAAAAGAAAAAATTAAAATGAGAAAAAGAATGAAATAATTTTTTTTTTTATTTCGAAAGTTTCCAACTGAGAAAAAATTTATGCTGCGATGCGCGCATGACCACAACTAAATACATAAGGATAAAACGAATAACGAGAAAATGATTCGAACAAACGAATATACTTACATATGAATATTGTTGTATGGTGTTGTTGCTGTTATAATGTTATTGTACATTTAACATCAGCGTATAAAAAGAAATGAATGAGTTTTATTCGGAAAATTTTCATTTCAGAGTGTATCGAAGCAAAATTTAAACCAAAAAAAAAGAAAAGAACAAAAGAGAAAGAAAACAAAAAAGAAAGTAATTTTTTTTAATATCTCTGGAGGAATGCAAAATATCGAATTGAAAAATTATGTTTACCTACACTCATAATATGAGTACGTTGTAATTCTTTAAGCAATTGTGAATGTTATGATGTCAGCAACAGAAGTCAGTGATTATAGTTAATTATTACTGATTGATTCATGAATTTTTAGCTTTTTATATTTAATTCTTACAAACGATGAAAACATCAATACATTCTATATCGAAAGGAATATTTTAGTAATATTTAGTCTGAATTAGAGAATTTCAAATCAAAACTTCTTAAAATAGTGTTCAAATTTTTAGAATCCATTTTGAAAACGTCAAAGATTTTTCCTCTAAAACATATACGCAAACACAAATTACATTATGGAAACATCTTATTCTGCTCGGAATAACTTAATTGTTAGTATAGCTCACATTTGTAAGATTATGTGCTTACAAATATTGCTCTGAACATTTTATATATCCCCGTATTCATCTACAATATTTTTCATTTTATTTTCAAATTTTTTTTTTCCTTGAATAATTAACCTTAATGTTGGAGTGCTGAGTTATTAAGCCTTCTTGCTTAGACCTCCTTAATTTTATGTCCAAAATTCCGAATAATTTCTATAAGCAGCTTTAATCACACAAATCATAAAATTTTCAATAAATCTAGACTAAAAAAGATTTCATTCAGCTTTAGAGACCAAACTCCAGTTATGTGCAAAGAGAAAAAAAAACTAAGTCACATGTTGAGGGTTAAATTTTTTTTTTTTCTCATATTGAACAGATGAAGTATAGATTAAAGTTGTATATGTAGGTACATAAGTATTTTTTTTTTTATTTTCTGCAAAAAAAAAAAACAAATTTATTACATATGTACATGTATTATTATTGTTTGTATAAAAACATATATACATTATATACTTACATGTACGTACATAAATAATTTCCAATCTTTAGTCAGTTATTCAGTCATCTAGTCAGTCAGTCAGCTAACCAGCCAGCCGTAGCCAAATCAACCAACCAGCCAACCATCTAACCAATTCAACCAACCCATCAGTGTTAGTTTCGGTTTTAGCGTTATGTTCTTAATTCTTGAGGAAAACCGCACAATATTCCTACATACTATATATACATATGTTAGTGATATATATGTATGTATAACTTTATATGAATCTTTGTACATATATTGTATGTGTATATTAGTAGAAATAATGTACATATGTAGCGATTTATCTTCAGTGTAATATAGGAAAATAATATAAAAAAAAGAAAAAAAAAACGGTTTTCCAGTTCTTCTTTCGCAACTAAATATAATACGTAGATTATGTATTTCACACACACACATGTATACATCGAGTACATTTGTTAAATATTATTTGTATATTTAAAATATAGAAACGGAAAAAAATTGCAAAATTTAAAAAAAATTAATTTCTTATTTTTTATACTATTGGAAAATGTTAAAAATTAAAATGGTTAAGAAAATTTGGGCTTTGCTTTTTGGTAACTATATAAACCGAATACTATTTGCTTATAATACACGGGTACACAGAATGTACACATAATATATATACATATTATGTATATATAATGTGCTTATTCTGCTAAAAAATATGTACTCGAAGAATAATTACAGAGTCATACTTTGTAATTATAAAATTTAGAATATGATTTCACAAATAAATCAAGTCGCGATTAACAATCTTTAACCTTGTATGAGTATAACTTTTCACAAAAACAATGTTATAAAATATGACTGGTCCCTATTTTAAACGAAACAAGAATTCGAATACTATTTTAGCAAATTCTAGCCAAATTTAGACATTAGACAAAATATTAAAATTAAGAACCTCAATCAAGGGAATTTTCATTTGAAAACCTATTAGGCGAGTCACAATACCACCGTTGTCTATTAATTGTCAAACGACTGAAGTCCGAAATGGCATAGTATGAAATAAAAAAAAAACTTCACTGTCAAAATTTAAGTTAAATATTAAATTAAATTTTATTTGTGACGTTCAAAAATAAATATATAAGTAACATATAGTATGTACATATATGCATATGTGTTTGGCGAGTACATTTCAGTTTCTAATATAATTTCTATACCGTTATTTGTTCTATATTATTGTTTTTCATATCTCATTTTGTAAATTTAAACTCAAATAGCTGGGAATTTTTTTACCTAGTCAACTGTCAATTTTTGATAGTATTTTTGGAATTTTTGTCGGTTTTTTTTTTTGTATCCAATTCGGCTTATCGAATTTGATCTTATTCTAAATCGGTTTTTTTTATTATAATTACTTGTAGTTTTTTATAATTTGACTTTTATCAAACTTTTAGATATAAAATTTTGAAATTAAATTAATTGTTAAAATTAGTAATTGAGTTACTTACTCTTTATGTATTTCTTGCCAAAATTTTACTGGAGGCAGTGTTCCCTTGTGTTATTAAGCCGTTTCTTAAGAAACTCATGACTTATTTTATGGCATTATCCTATAATTTACATATACAAACCAATTTATTTTTCCATTATTTGTTAATTTAAAAAAAAAAATCAAACCAAAGAAAAAACAACACCCAAACGCTTTTAACAAACATATAAAATTTTTAATTTTTCACCTTTAATTGCCTATTCTAAAGAAATTAGAAATAAAAACCACCATTACACAAAAAAAAAAGAAATCTTATATTTTCGGGTTCATATGGTATCAAATGTGCTTTACACATTTTGTGGGCTTGTGATATGAGTTATAAAAAAAAAAGAAAAAAATTTGAAAGAAGCCATAAAATATCGGAAAACATTATTATTGTTCGTTTTCTTCTATTTCGAAATTGAATTTTTTTTTTTCTATATAAATTTTCAAAATAACACGTGTTATTTGTTCCAAAAATACACAAATTCTTATTATTTTATTTCTTCATTTTAATCGTACATTGTACATGGGTTGCTCTCACCGAATTTTCAAAAAAACTTTTGAATTTTGTTGGCGTTCAATTTTTAATTGTTGTATTTATGATTTCTTAAAATTTTTTTTGTTGTTTTTTTTTTTTTTTGATTTAAACATAAATAAATAAAAAATTAAAACAGAAAATAAATTATTTTTTGATTTTTTTTCTTTTAAAGACGCATCTATAAGAGGGAAAATAAAAATGTTGTATATCGAGAAATTAAGCCAAAAAAGAAAATCCCATGCAGATGAAATCCCAAAAATAGAAATTTTTTCAAATTTATAAATTTAATGAAAAAGAAAAAAAATGAAATTCTTCTTTCTATATTATGAAGTGTAATATCGCATCGCTTCCTCCCCATATTTAAAAAAAAAAAAAATAAAATGAGAAAAAAACACACATTCTGTGTGTTTAATATGGGAGGAAAGAAAACACAAAAGAAACGTTACCTTGATCGCGCATTTTCATTTGAACGTCACCATATAGACAATTTTTTGTTTTTTAATGTTGTTGTTTTTTTTTTATTATAAAATTTATTTGAAAAACTTTAAATATTTTGTAATGAAATCAAGTTCGAAAACAATAATTATGTGGTGAAAATTAAAATTTTGAATATTTATTGAAAAAGGGCTTTTTAAAATTTATTTTGTAAATCAAATCCTTTCCATCAATTTTGAATTTTGTTCTATTGTAAAGGCATAAATTTTTCACTTAATTTTTTTTACATTTTTCATATAATATGAAATCATTAACCCTTTCTGTACCGTGGTATTCATGGGGTTTTATCACTACATAGGGTATGATCTCGCTATTTTACTTGTCAAGAGAGAAAAAAAAAATGAGTTACTATTATATATTTGTATGTATAATGTAATTGTCTCGCGAGAAAATTTTTTTTTGTATTGCGAATCTCATTTTTTTTTGTAAAATGTGTACAAAATTATTGATTACGAGTAGCATTATTGATTCAATTTGTTTTTGAAAATTAAATAGTTTAAGTTAATATTATATTTTGAGAAAGAGCGCGAAAATCCAATTAAAATAATGAGAATTGCAAAACTGACGCATTTATTTAAAAAAAAAAATTGAGAGTTCTGATTTGAATTCACTTTCGAAAAAGCGAGACGAAAGAGTATTAGACTGACAAAGTTTATTTGAATCATTCAATTGAGTTATTATAGAATGGTTTTCATTTTATTTCATTACCTTTTAGTAGTTTTTATTTTATGTTGTAATTTAAAATAATAAAAAAATTGTTTAGTTGCCGAAATATAAATTTGAGGTTTAAAGGGTTAAAGATTAAATTTAATTTAAATTTT